CATCCTTGGTGCGGGAAGTGGGTCAAAGATTTGGCTCCACGCTTTCTAGGAACTGGTATACAGAGGAGATCGAAGCAAAGTTTGTTATTCACAGTACCCATAGGGCAAAAGCAAATCAGCTACCCTGAAGAAGCATGTTTATTCTAGTTCGAAGACAAGAGAGAAATTTCTCCTATGGGTCCTCATAAAAATGACAGTGTGAAATGTATTAAACCACATCCTCAGGAAAAAATCCTCACAGTAAACCCAACGATGAGTTTTATAAGTCTGTTACTTATAAAATCCCTGAGTACATGCTGGTAAGAAGATGGCTGAGCAGAATTCCAGGAAAATGATTCAGTTTTAGACTGCTGCACCACGAGGGCAGTGAAAAGAACTGGTCACTGGAACTAGCCCAGTTAGTGTGGTAATTTTATAATGATTTGGCACGTTCAATTTGATGAATGTAATCATAATTAAATAGTATACATTTTTTGAAGTAAATGCCATTTTTCTTAATTAAAAGTCTAAATTAGAAAGCCACATACAAGGGTTAGCCTGATAGCTCAGCGGACTAAAGTGCCTGCTTAGGCATAGCGCAGAGGCCAGTCCTAAATATAAAAATAAATAAATAAGTAAAAATAAAAAAAGCCATATACAAAAACTTTTATAGCATAAGGAAAGATATTTTGATAGAGCCTACTAACCATGTAATAGTCATCAATTGATTTTAGAAAGGGTCACAGTGGCTCCCCCTGGATTCCTGCTGTCTTAGTTGAGTAATAGAAAAGCAGTAGGAGCACATATACACTCACCTGTAAGGTCAGGCACGGCTACAAATGAGATGTCAGACAGCTGCACATTATTTGTATGCATCATATGGAGTGAGAGAAAGTTGGTTTTACTCCCAAATACCATAGATCTCTCCCATCTGCTGGGGACACATTCCAAATCCCCAAGTGGAGGCCTGAAAACACAGCTAATATCAATTCTTTTTTTTACCAATTCTTATACTGTTTTTGGTACACATATTGATGTGGTTTAGCTCTAAAATGTACCCCAAAGTCTACCTGTGTTCAGAGGTGGGGCTTTGGGAAGGTGACTGAATCACACGAAGCTCTATTTACCGGTGGACTAACTCAGGGATTTCTAGCCGAGTGTGCTGCAGGAAGCGGAGCCAAGTCAGAGGAGGTAAAGCATGGCGCGTGCTTTTGGAGTCTCTTTTTTCCTCTGTCTCCGTCTCTCTATCCCTCTCTCTGTCTCTCTGTCTAACTCTGTGTCTCTGTCTCTATGTCTCTGTGTGTGTGTGTTTGTCTCTCTGTGTCCGTCTCTGTCTCTCTGTCTGTCTCTATGTTTGTCTCTGCGTCTGTGTCTGTCTTTCTTTCTAGGTGGGGCACTCTCTGTCTCTCCTTCTCCCTCTCCCTCTCCCTCTCCCTCTCCCTCTCCCCCCCACTTTTCTGGCTCTTTCTTCTCTGCCTATGGCCGTCCTGGGTTGAATGGCACTTTTCCATCACACCCTTCCACTATGCCTTGTGTACAAACAAGTTTCTCTTTCTTTACACCACAAGTGTTGAATATTTTGTCCCTGGGAACAAGAAAGGTGGCCAATACACATATGCACCTTTTAATTTATAAATTCGGCATGGTAAGAGATTAACAATAACCAATAATGAAATTAAAACATTTCACTCCAATGAAAGTTATGTTAATGTGATTTCTCTCCGTCTGCCCTTCTTTTTCCTATCTTTCCCCCTCAATATCTCACTGCACTGTGCTCATACTTCTTGAGATGATGGACAACGTCACCATGCCTACCTGATGAGTTTACAAGAGGGAGATGATGCAGGCAGCATGACACAGCCTTTGTGACAGTGTGAAGCTGGCCTGGACACAGCAGTGAAAGCTATTACTTTGGAGCCAACAACTGAGATGGCCAATAAGATACTGGCAGCCCGGTAGCCTGGCCCCGTGTGCCTGATAGATGAACAACCTGTATCCCAAGTGCGAAGATGCAAGACCACTGGGGTTTTATCGTGTTATTCACACTGGAATACAGTTTTAATCTGTGAATCCTTTTGTGAGATCCTCCATTAACTTCTTTGGGCAGTGGTTTAGACAACTAAAACTACTGAAAGCAAAACCACTGGTGGATGGGGAATAGCATACCCTCACCATTCATCTTCCTTCAATGGAAAAGGGTCAGTCTGCAGAGCAACGCATGAGCATCTGCGCAGGCAAGCGCAGGGACAGTCCAGCACCACACGCGGCACTCACCTGCCCACAGGCATGCTGAGGTGGCCACCGAGACCAGGCGAGATAGTACACAGCAATAATCCCAGCACTGGGAGGCCGAAAACAGGAGGATCACTATGAGTGCGAGCTGTGTAGTGAGACCCTGTACCAAATACAAGAAAGAAAGAAAGAAAGAAAGAAAGAAAGAAAGAAAGAAAGAAGGAAAGAAAGAAAGAACAGAAAAGCCAGATACACAGAGGAGAATCAGTGTGAAATAGAAGAAAAATTGAGCCAAATCCCTACTTGGCAATATATATATCAGATTGAAAAGTAGACTCTAAAACTATTAGATGTGAAAGTTTCCCAGTTTTAGTTACATTAGAACCTTTTACTAAGAAAATATCACTGTGTGTGACTTTTAAAAATATATAAATCTGTGTCATCTGCATATTGTATTACATCCATCCCTACTTAATGAGAAGCTATTTGTAGAAATAAAACATTGACTTAAAAAATATAGGCCTAGATTTTCTCTTTTAAAGCTGAAAAATGATATTAAGATATAGCCAGGGCCAGCCAAATAGTTCAGTGGATTAAAGCACCTACAAGCAGGTGCAGGGGCCTGCTGTACCACCGTAACAGCCCCTCCCCTGAGGCATGCTGAGAAAGCAAATGAGGATTGGCGTGGTGGCCCATGCCTGTAATCCCAGCTCTTGGGAGGCTGTAAACAGGTGGATCACTACAAGTCTAATCTAGTAGTGAACCCCTGATCACCGTGTAGACCTTTCCCTAAAATACAAAAACAACAACAACAAAAAGACGTAGCCAGTTTGCAAAGCAAAACTTACATCTTGTTTGAATTGTTCCCTATAGCTGTATCACTTAGCCCTGTGAAGCAGCATACACTCCCCAGCAGATGAGTAACAGACACTTAGGTTCTCAAAATTGTTTACAATCCAGAACCACTTTCCTAATGTCACTTGTTTTGTATTTCTTCTCAATACCCCATCATAGACCACTAGGAATACACCTATACATAAACAAAGTGCTTATTATTATTCTTTGCAACAAAACCATGCAAGATGCTCCTAGTCCTCAATAAAAATGGTAGAAAGGACTTTAGGGGGTTGCAGTATTTTTCCATTACATTTTCTACCTTCTCAAATCTTAGGATGAAAAAAGACTAAACTAAAGTTAAGACTGCAATGGACTGACATGCAGCAATCTTATATTAAACCAGACAAGATGATATTTATTAATTTGATGGTGCTAAAACAAAACTTAAGACCAGTTAAATTTAACAAAATATGTCTGAGAAAGAGAAAGAATCAGCAACATTCCTAAGTAATGGTAATTCTGATGTCCCACCCCGTCACATGTATAGAGTATATTTAGAGCCAGAGAAAAACAAATTACATACAGAAGCAATGGATTGGTTCTCATCAGCATTTGCTTCTTATATTCATGGTCTGATCAGTTTGCAGCCGTGATTGCTTTATTGAAGCTCCATTCTGTTCTTCACTAAGATGTAGTTGCCTGGCTACAGTTTGTTTACCTATTAAGCTAGTTATACTTCCTCTAGACTGTATAGAGAGTGTTAAGCCACATCTTATTATCAAGTGCAGATACAAGATTGATCAAGCATTTTAATTTAACAGCAGTTTGGATAGTACTTACCCCTTTACCTATATTCAAATATGACTTTACAGTGTCCTCCTTTCTTGATGCACCCTGTCAGTGGCCTTGTCTGAGGTTGATGCTCCATGACATTGTCTATGCTCCACAGGAACACACCAATTCCCAGCCCAGGTTAGATCCAGGTATTAGGGTTTGCTTTTTCGCTTACACATTCCAGGCAAGCCATACTTCAGATGGAATTTAATTTTCTCTGTTCCCCGTCCCTCACCTTATATTCAATTCCCTGTTTCTTCAGGAGTCCATCCTTGGAATGCTTCAACTCAGTCTTCTCTGACAACCATTGTGCTTAGTGCTGCTTGATTACTTGTTTTTAGGCTTTGTTTCCTCAAATGATATCATAGTGTGGTCTTGAGACAGAGTTGTGGAGGAGGAGAGAAAGGGACAGGAGAGGAATGAGAAGTGTCACCGTGCGTGCACCAACTCTCCATGATGACGGCAATCATTGCGGAGTGAAAGTGAGGACTAACAAAAGAAATACATTTTTAAAAGCTAACAAATTTCCATTGGAACTGCAAAAGACCCCAAGAAAACCAAAGCAAATTTAAGCAAAAAAAGAACAGAGCTGGAACAGAATAATTTAGGGACTTAGGAGCATGAAATAGTGTATTATGGTTATCTATGTATACACTATTTCTATTTTTATTTATCCACACCATGCACATTTCCCTTTCATATTATTTAGCATCTCAGCTGGTGACTTAATTCATCCCATGAAAATGCACTTATTTCATCTCACGATAGAATATTTTTATCGGATATAAAATTCTGGATTGACAGTTATTTTCTTTTACTATTTCCTGAATTGCTTGTCGTCGCCATTGATTCCGACGAGAAATCCAGCCATTTAGGTCACTATTACCTTTTCGCTTAAACAAAAACATTTCGGGAAACAGATTCAAGAAAAGAACCGAGGTTTGAATGAAAGATTTTTTTGGTACGTGATCACCAGGTTCTGCCACGTCCCCAACCCAGTTCCAGACTACATTTCCCACAAATCTCCGGAACTGACGCGCACCTCCATGGTCTGCACTACAATTCCCACAATCCTCGGGGCCCGCCGCGGGGTCCCTTACCGGAACTTGCGGCCCATTTCCCGTCGTCCTTTGCGGTCTCTTCCTGTGAAGGACAAGGTCGTGAGTGAGGGCAGGTTTGGGCTTTGCGCCTCTTTCTTTCCCCTTCGCAGAGCTTCCTCCAGCACCATGTTGGGGCAGAGCATCCGGAGGTTCACAACCTCCGTGGTGCGGCGCAGCCACTACGAGGAGGGCCCCGGGAAGGTGCGTGTGCGGTCCGGCCTCGCGGGGGTCCGAGGGGCCTTGGGCGGGACTGGAAACGGCC